GCTCTTGCGGTGGTCTCGTTAACGTGGCATGTTTCGAAACTGGTATGGTATAGTATGATTGCATGGCGAACACAAGCGACAGACCCTAACATGGAAATCATGACATGCGTGTAACGTAACAACATGACTACATGCCACGCTCATGATGCGCTCGCGGACGTTTCGCTAGCGTCATATATGCCAAATTCGGTATACAGTACGTGAATTGCTGACGAAGCTATTTGCTGGTGCAAAAATAATAATTATGAGATGCATGTCATGTAACAACATGACTACATGCCACGCTCACGATGCGCTGTTGGCCGTTTTGCTAGCATCACTTATACCAAATTTGGTATTACGGGACGTGAATGGACAACGGAGTATGATACTAGTGCAAACATGACAAACATAAGATGCGTGTCATGTAACAACATGACTACATGCTATGCTCATGGCCCGCTCTCGGCCGTTTCGCTAACTTCACATGTACCAAGCTCGGTATTACGCGAAGCGAACGAACGACATAGGTAAATGACACATCCAAACATGATAATCACGACATGCGTGTCATGTAACATGACAACAGGCCACATGAAATGCGCTCGCGGCCATTTCGCTATCTTCACATATGCCAGATTTGGTACTACGTGACGCCAATGGATGACGAAGGTATGTGACTGGTGCAAACATGATAATTATGAGATGCGTGTCATGTGAGAACATGACTACATGTCACATTAAAGGCGCCAATACATTTTGGCGTGACGCGGTGCGCGTGCTCACCGGCGTTCATTTCGTCACGTCACGCCGGCGTTGCCATGCCAGGCGCCGATCGTGCCATATACTCGCAGGCGCGCGCTGCTTTGGCGCATGCGCGTTTTAGCGCGTCTGGCGTCCCTCCATCTCGAAAAGAGCGAGACGTAGTGTTGTCTGAGTAACACATCGGCGCGAAATGGCGCATGTCGCGTTTCGCGCTGGTTGCCGTCGGGTCGCGCCGACAGACGCTGGTAGCGCCTGGCGTCAGACTATGGAGAGTGGTCGCGTTTTGCTAACGTAGCGTGGCTGTGCCCAGTGTTCGCGCACGTCAACGCCACATAGGAGTATATTGGGCCCTTCATGATGCGCTCGCGGCCGTTTTGCTAGCTCAAGGTATTCTAAATTTGGTGTTACGTGACGTCAATACATCACGAAATATATGACTGGTGGAAACATCATAATCCTGACACGCGTCATGTAAGAACATGACAACATACCATGACGAGTTCGCTAGCTCCACATATACTAAATTTGGCATCACGTGACGTGAAGAGATGACGAACGTAAATGACGCATCCAAACAAGATAATCATGACACGGAAGTGATGAACGGCATCATTTATCACCACCTCGTTACGTTTTGCTGATTTTAAAGATGCATAACAAGGTTTCTCATTCGTGCTTCGCATATAATTGATTACCACTGTGCGTGGGATCTGCCAATTTTTTTCTTCTCAGTTCTCGTCGCAACGTGGTTAAAAACCAATGCGCAGCATATATCATACCAATCATTGGGCGGCTAAAACAATTATACTAATCAAATCTAATATTTAAATCATCGCGAATCAAACATTGTGGTCTGAAGATGAAAATAAATGTTTTACGCTTTCTTCTGCGAGAGTTCAATTAAGCAATAATTTACGTAAGATGCAGTGGCTAAATACATGAATGCGCACTTCTGTGTTATGTGCCGGGCGCTGTAACGACGCTTGCCCACGCATGGTCATTTCTCATATGAAGTCAATAGACGACAGAAGTGCAGCCTTCTCCGGTTCACACTCTGTTCTTTGTTACCAGTAAGAACTAAAGCAAAGTAAATATATCGCGATTGCAGTATAGCTGGCCTTGTTCACTCACCTTACGGCAAGATTTTCATGATTTCTCGTTGCTCTTCACCGCTTGCCATATCTTTCAGCGACGATGTACTCCCCAGTAGTCGCGATTACATTCTCCTCGCAGATTATATGCCACAGAACGCAAAACGCGCCTGCACAAACGATCAGCAGTTTTTAAAGACGATATAGTCTTTCTTGGGGACCTTCGACGCAAAAACTTTGGTCTGTCTGTATGTCTGCACATTTGTCTTTGTCCGCCCTTAACAGTACCCTTAAAGGCACCAGACGATCAAACAAACGGCCGACCTTATCCGCAGTGCCCACCAATATTGCTCAAGACTCAGCGTTGTTACTTGTGTGATTGTCAATTAAAAAGCAATTATTGCGCACATCTGAAGCACCTTAACAACACTTCAATATTCTGTTTGTGTGTGGTTTACTAGAAAAAGCATACATAATTAATTCTAAGGACTGTAGCGTTTATCACGCTGCGCTGACCATGCAACACTTGCATGAAAAGGCAAGTGTTTCCAACGCTTTCCTACGACGACACGGTGGTGGTACCTACCCGTCACCTTGTATTCTACACCTTATCACCTCCGAGACGGGTGCGCACACCGCGCGCTTTGTTTTCAAGATAACTGCCAGATAGCGCTCATGTCTTATGCGTGACGTGACTTGATGCGCTCGTTCGCCTACGCTGCACGCTCGAGGCACTTTAACACAACGCCTCCAGAATACCATTGACCGATTTTCTTGCGCAGAACATCAAATAAACATTTCGTTCACTTTTTCCAGACGGGAGACTATCGTCTTTCGACGACATTTGCAGTGTGACATGCAGATACGGGGCCAACGTTTTTTTTTTCGCTTTTCACACAGCAGCCATTACGTGACTTAGATTGGATGCAAAAACGACTAATATGTGGCTTCTACTCTCAAAGCACAAAAGTGTATCATTTACTTTTAGCAATATAGTTCATTCATGGCAGCGCTAGAAAGCCTATAAATCAAATTTATTCTATTTACGTGGGATGATTTTTTTGTTACATGCTCGTGAATAAAATAAATAGAGTATACGACCCCCTTACGGCTCTCAGCCAAAAAGTCACTAGGGTCCTTAACTTTTCCTCTTCAAAATACCAAGAAAGTACTAAGACTTTTTCACTCAGGTAAAAAAGATATTGAATATACGGCCCCTTTGCAACTTTTAGCCAGAAAGTCGCTGAAGTTCTTAAAGTTTTTTTTCTTAAAATACACAGAAAATACAAGAAATTTAACTGTATTTATACGGAAACTAGGCCAACTGCCACACTTGTCTTGTTTACACACTGTGGGCGGGAACGAGCGCTCTTCATTGGCCAAATAAACAAAACAAAAAAAGAAACTCAAGGAGCTTTTGGCATGGGCGGTGCCTCAAGCGTGACGTAACAGGAAAAACGGAATACAGAATACGGAATAGAAGTGCGTTATACGGCCACAGTTTCTCAGCAAGTAAAAGCTGGCGAAACAGCCGCCGTCATGAAAGCTAGAACAAGCATAACACGAGAGCAGAAAAAAAAGGAGGCGAGTACTTCACCTTCACTCGCTGTGGTTAAAGTTCAGCTTGCTGCTTCGCGGCGACGTCAGCAGGTCAAGCTCCCACGGCACGGAGTACATGGCTCCAAACCTCCCCGGTCGTTTTAATGCCTTGACCATATAATTTTAGTTTTATTTATTTTTTAGTACGCCGAAAACGTTTGCACACGACAGTACATGGCTACTACTGCTGGATACCACATCAAAACAACCATTATATGGTTTTCATAAACGTCGAAACAGCGCATCGGTAGAGTACACAGCTTCATGTCGGCAGAATATGACTTACCTCGAGGCATACGTCGTACACGGTATTATCGTGGAGGACCTGAGAAATGCATTTCGCAGTGACTCGGGCGTCCTCGTCTTCCGTCGTCTGCTTCACATCATAAACTTCACTAACGGGATTTACTCCTTTTGCTGGATTTTCGTCTCGAAAGTGCTTGTCCAGTTCAGAGATCTTTATAAAGCCGCAATGCGGGTGGTACAATGTGAGGTGACTAAACACAGCGCGCGTTCTGTGCATGAGCACGTAAGCGAGCGGCAGCGCATTGGAGGGAAGGGAAAATGCGCGATATACATATCGGATTTCGACTTTTCAACCAAAGATGGCACTGCCTGTCCAGAGTCACAGCGCCACCATACGTTGCTTAGGCCTCCTAGAATATCAGCTTCCCGCTTCTGGTGTTGGTAATACTCATGTTCCTGTTGCGTAAGGATGCCAACAACAAACATGCGACTGCTTAACATAAGTCTGTGCGCACAGCATTTGTACATACTTCCAGCGTCTTTCCGTAACGTTTCGCTCATTAAAGACTAGAAGACAGCCATGTTCCTTCCGCGCACATCGCAAAGCACGAATTTTAAAGGTAGGTGGGATCAACTGAATTTTTTCCCCCAAAACATTCTCTTGAAATCCTGAAATAAAAACCACACTCTTCTCGCCCCCTTGTTACCTTTCTTCTCGCATCGACCATTATTTAAAAGCTAGTGTTACTTGGCTACAGCAACGTGAACCTTCCATTCTTCATGCCGAACACATCATCCGAACGTAACCACTTCGCTGCTTACATCACCAGTAACTCTGATCACGCGTCAGTCAACACTGCCATTTTGAACACTACTCCTCTACTAATGCCATGAGTTCCATTGATAGCAAATATTTTATTAAATAAAAAATAAACAAATTTGCTAGACGAGTGACCAACAAGAAATAACAAGGTCATAAAAAGTTATCTGTGCATTCGACAGTGTACACAGAGGCTTTCAATTCACGAGTTATTTTTGAAAAGTGACGTGCTCCAATCCCTAGATTTGCATTTAATATTTTCGAGAAAATGCATGTCTTCAAATCATCTTTTCGTGACTACAAACAAAACATCAAGTTCAATGGTATTGCGAAGAAACATTGACAGTACCGTCCTGTGTGTACACTTCATCGGTCTGTTGTCGCAGAGAATGTCGCTGGCGTGCGGCCTTGCTGTCTCGGATTGTTCCATTGAACGCAATGTCTTCGCATTCACAACCCACCAGACGGGTTTAGGTATCCGCAAGTTCTTTAAGATAGGCTTTTTCACAAGGATCTCGTGCGCGTTTATTTTCTTCAGTATGTACAACCACGCTAACGTGTTTCATTATGCGGGAGTTTCACCATTCACAGAAGTTTTTGCCGAGTATGCCTCTCAGTAGCTTTTGGCAGTCTGATCAGTCTCCGTGCTCCGAACCGATGAGGATTTTGTAGTCCTTGTGGCAATCCTGGAACGGCATGGTGTGAAAAATTAAGGAAAATATCTTAAAAAGGATGTTAAAACATTCTAAATTGCATTCCCAGCCAGGTGCGCGACATCATCACGTTCTGCCGGACTAAAGAAGAATAGTTTTAAGTAATATTTATTTACTTCTTTTATTCAAAACTTATTGCCACTCTTACCAGAAATTTCACTTCAGTATTACTCGATCATTACGAGCGGTCACCCCTTTGTTGATGTTCAACCATTTGCAAACACTCCTAAAATGATAAATGAAAGGACCAGATATTACTGGCAGGAAAACGAAAAAAAAAAACTGGCAGGTATCCTTATGCATTCCCTCGAAGGCGAAAGCCACCTTGTTTTGCTTCCTAATAGTCATCCTGCCCCTGAAAAGCTTTGCGCATCTAACGGTGTTTTGCCCTGTCTCCAAGATAGGGGGCTTCCCGCTCAGTTTCGGATTGCCTGCGTCATCAGACCACATTCGATCAAGCCACGATGCCATATGACGACGTCAGCGTGAAATGTTACGTCACGTAACGGCATAAGGACTGTAAACATTCGTGATCGCGAATGTCATCATCGTGAGGCAGTGCTCAGAGTCAACTTGACTAACAAACGTAATTAGGAACAATATCAACGTGATAATAGTAAGCGAGGGGGATGGGGTATGTGTGCATTTTGCTATATCCACGAGCAGTCTGCAGCATATGTGGTGCCCATACTTAGGTAGCTTTTGTTGAACTACGGTAGGGCAACCCTGTAAAGGCGGGAGGAGAAGAAGATGGCGGGTAAGTAGTGGAAAAATAGAGCTTTGGCTTTTTCATCTCTTTCAAGTAGCCATAAAACGAATCAAATAAAAAAGCCATATGCCTCAAGAATTCACCACCGCAACATGTTTCGGAACCACTTGGTAAGCCATAAGTATAGAGTTACTGTATTTGCTACCTTTAGGTAGCATATGCAGTATTTTTAATCCTAAAAGTGCAGCAGCGTCTCCTGGCGCTGGAGCGAAGTAACAAAGATTCGTTTTACTATGCAGTCAGGCCCCGGAAACTCTCAAGTTCCAGCAATAAAACTCGCATGTTTCAGAGCACAAAACTCGACCGTGGCGATTTTCACCGAGGTGTGCGTACAGAGGAGCTACTCACTACTCTTTTAGAGGTCGGGTAAGTTAATTTGCACTTTCTTTGTTAGGGGCGCTGAACGCGGCTACGATGTTTATTTCAGGATGTATCAAAGGATTGTTAGAAGCGTAGTCAGCGGGCTGTCTTTCATAAAAATAGCAGGGAATCTTTTTGAATAACTTCTACTATTATTACAAGAGCGGCGATTGTATGAGTTCAACTATTGAGATTATCTTGATGCTAGAAAAGCAGCAGACCATAGGCATCGATTTAATTAAAGTTGGTCACTTTGTTTAAGTTCTTTCGTTGTACTTCGAAACCAAGCTCCATTTTAAATCAGCTGTAGTACATCAATGGGAGTTTGTGCGTCACACTTTACGTGCCGCTACGACGAAGCAAGTGAACGTGTCTAAATTGTCTGTGAACCATGTCAGCTGCAGCGCTTCACAGACGTCGGGCTGCGCAGCCTCCAGCACTAAACTCAATGCAAGCAAATCGCTCGAAGACTGCCTAGGAAAATAGAATAATCAAGCCCATTGGGGGTGTACGCCACTGTGATAGCAAATACAGTTGCTTTAAATCTAAACATGGCCATTTTCTTCTGCACGCGCTACAGTTTTTGTTATTTGATTAGGCTTTTCGACTTGTCTAGCTAATAAGATGCACATCTTGCGAATGTTTGAGATGGTTTAGTTCGTTCTCATATTCGTAATATAAGTAATATCTTTACTTCTAAACTTAGTTACACAGATCACAATAACACGGCATAATCTTTACCTGTTTCTACTCAAAGTGAGTCTGCTGTCCATAAATTCAACGCACAGTAGAGCGAAGTGAACATTTAGCACATATACATGTTTGTACATTTTTCATAGGTTCACAATCAAGCATACTACAATTGCATGAACCATACAGTCTATCCACTTTGCAATCATCTAGCTTTGTCTTCTGAAGAACCTCACTAAAACAAATTCATTAAAACGACATCCATACGACAAAATCACAAAAATAGCAATGTAATGTACACGCTACCTTTCCTATATGCAGTGTTCCCATATAAATTTTTCTTTGTCATGCATCACAAATCTGCTCACGCTCCTACCAAAGTAACCGTGAGTGTTTTTTTCCCTCTTACGATCCAACTGTTGCCTCTAAAGAACAGCTCATATCAGCGTACACTTGAGTGCTTCATCACTGAGCCTAGCTGAAGTCAGTGGAGAATATGTCATCATGGAAAATGAACTCATGAGCCAAAATATTAGCAAGATATGGTGGAAGACACTTTATTTATTGAACCTATTTCAGTTTAACCATCCCTGTCTTACCACCCCCCCCTCCATTACTCTTTTTTTCTCTCCGTAAGGTGGACAAAAGAGAGACCATCGATTTTCTAACTACCCAAATCAAGTCATAAAAAGCTCAGCAGCTGCCATAGTGACAACACCATGCGCCACCAATATGACAGGGGGACGAATGGAAGCCTTATGCTGAAAAGCAATGATAGTGTACGGTATCTTTAAGCTGTACGAAATAGGGTGCACAGATTGTTGTTGCTTGCTTTGTGAATTACTTACACTCTAAGGCAAAATGGTGTTAAAAGGGTGTGTGGTTCGTCCTTTTGGGGACTAATGGGGCTGCCACAATCATTAATCTCTTTAAGGACTAACTACACCGGGTCGAACAGTCCCCTCAAGGGACCAACATTTAGTCCACACATTTACACCTTAGTGAGTAACCATTAGTCCCACAGTTAACCCCAATGGACTAACATTTAGTCCTAACAGTTGCACTTTGCTGGAAAAACGGTTGATCTAATCAAATACTTAAATCGAATGAACTTTTTGTCCCCAGTTTAAACATTGTTTTTTGTTTATTTTCCACCAGGCCTAATACTTTTTCGCCTGTTTTTCTACGCAGAGAGCAACAAATTCCGCAGAAAAGAACACACGAAAAAGTAGTTCGCCACCAATGTCTAACTGCTTTCACAGTCACGGCAACAACGAAAGACAAAAGTGAGACATCAAAATCTTTTATTTTTCTACATACACATAAAGTTTCCCCATTCTTTTAAGTGAATTCATGGTGAAGTGTACAAGTCCAGTCTCGTTGTGAAATATTGTTCACTCCTTGGGGAGCTCCTGCGACAGAAGCGATAGATGACAGGCATTGCAGATGCCAGCGCACGCAGCCTCCTGCCTGTTGTGTTCCCACGGCTGCATGTACAATAATATAGTAAAAATAGTTAGGCACACGTCAAAGAAGATGAAGATGCACGTATATGACAAGTAGGTGCACGTTAATGTAAAAGCAAGCAATAAAACATGACAGACAAATAATTTTACCTTCACATCTCGCACAGTCCTTCTGAAGCTGCTCTGACGAAAGAGATGGATGACGGGCATCGCAGACGCCGGCGCACAGTCTCCAGCACGGGGCGTGCCCACGGCTGCACAATAAGTATGTAAAATAGTGAGTCACACGTGACAGAGGATGAATACAAATGCATATGAGAAATACGTGCAAGGCGAAATGAAAACATATGTGAGATATGACATGCTAATAGTTTTACCGTGATGTCACACATCGTCAAAGGCTCATTTCAATCCCCGTAGCGCGACAGCTTAGGAGCGGCGGCCGCAGTCACAACTCCGCGAACCACCGTGCCGCTAACAAGTCGGCGAGTCCTAAGCGAGCGACGTCGTTCAGCTCGAGCAAGCGAACGCGAGACCAAACACGGCACTGAACGCGGAGTGTCTGCCGCCAGCGAACTTCGAACAGGAGAGCGAGCGTGCGCTTGGCCACTGCCACGAACAGCGCCGAGCTGGTTTGGAGCTAGCGCCGAAGAAATTGATGGTAATGTGGCCCTTTTCTACAAACTCGAGCAAATGCAGTGCGCAAACGCGAGTCCGCCTTCGCGGCCAGCGGACAGCTCCGAGCTGCTTGCAACCGACTGGCAGGAAAGCCAACTGTAATGGCGACCAATTTTCAGTCAGTTTCGACGCTAGCGAAAGCTCCGCCAGCCCGTGCTGGTGCACTTACAGCGCGCGACACATTACAACCAAGCTCTTTACGAGAACCCGCAACATGTTTTCCACGACTACCAACACAGCGACGAGGTCTCAGCCCAATATCATCATCCCGGAGCTTATCACAGCGGTGAAGACAGGCGAGCACTCGACGACCGAGCGTCCGGGAGGCCGACGGCAATTTCCAGGTGATCGCAAAGCAAAGGCGAACTGCAGACGCCGAAGCTGACCTTCGCGATGCATTTCGTGCGTGCGATATACAACACGACCGAGCCCGTTGCCGGCAAGTGCGATCCGTATTGCACACACGACAAGTAGAGTAGAATAAAGAATGATAACATACTTGCCTTAGAATCCAGCGCTGTTTTCTGCCCTGAGTCGGACTGAAGTATATATCCGATAGGCCTGTTCTTCTCGGCCACCATATTGGCCTTCCCAATTGTTGTTGTCGTGTATTGGTCATGACTATCTTGAAACCAGAGATATACAGCGTGGCGTGGTGACCTGTCGAAGCTTGCTCGAGACTTCATGGGTGCAGCGAAACGCTAAAGCAGCAGCCCACGCTCATCCAGGCGTACACACAAGCACCACGTCAGAATTCTTAGATCGTCGAATCCAGGCAGCCGTGGTCGAGCACTCCGAGCACGACGCTACGCGACCACCGCCGGCAAAATACGGGGAAAGACTGAGCCAGCAGAGGAGCAGAAAGACATGTGTTCTGTGGAGAAGGAGGGTTCACCTTGGCCACGCTTTTCGCGCTGCCTGCAATGCCCGGGTGGTTCATCCCAGTGAAACTAAGTGGTTTCGCGCCGCACGCTTCCTTCTGTGATTGCTCCTCAACGGTCTATCCGTTC